GAAATTATAACTATGGAAATGAAAACACCACTTGCCATACTAAATTTTATAAAAAAAGGTAAATTCTTTTCCAAATGCATGGATATCATATAGAATTCTATTAATTATCTCTCATTCTGTAGCTTCGATCGAAAGAAGTTTTTCAAAATTAAAATTAATAAAATCTTATTTACTTTCAACTATGTCATAAGAAAGATTAAGTAATTTGGCTATATTATCAATTAAAAAAGATTTTCTTTATAAACTTGAATACAAAAATTTAATTAGAGATTTTGCATCTCGGAAAGCAAGAAAAATAAAATTTAAATAATGTTTAATATTTATTTATTTTATGAAAGAGTCTCTAAAATATTATTTTGCCTAAGGCCACATATATTATAAAGCTAGCTCTCGCATTATCTTATTAAGATTATATAGTAAATCTAATTTGAAAATCCAAGTTTGTGTTAAACATATATTTAAAATCATATTATGTTTATTCAAAATTCAAATATAAATATTCAATAATTGATATTTAATGAGTAATTTTAAAAAACATGTTATGTAAAAAGTAATTTCTTTAAAACATTTTTTATTTCTCCTAAACTTCACATCACAAATAAAAAAAATCTTCCATTTATTCATTTATTTTTGGATAACGCATATTGTAATCTGTATTCAAAAAGCTGGTAGAATAACAATAATTTTTGTACATGAAAAGGTTGATGATAGATCAACTATTAATCCATGATGCAACTTAATAATAATAATAATAATAATAATAAAACAAGAGAGATATGGGCACTCGCATAATTACCAACAAAAGCAATATTGTAGTAGAGTTGATTTGGCTAAATAAGGAAGTTTTTAATAATTTTACCATATCCATACTTAGATAATTATGTTTGTTTTTATTATTCTCATTGTATTATCCATATAATAATAGTATAGTACTAGCATATATCCCGCGTGTTCTTTGCGGGGTGAGTTATATAACATTCTTATGTATTCATTTATATAAAATTTAACATTTACAAATCATTATTTAACAATATCATGCAAAAATAATTAAAAAAAATACTAAAACATATATTTCATAATTTGCTTGCGAGGTTAACTAAATGAAATGTTTGCAAAGTTGAGTAATATAATGTTGGTAATTAGATATTGTTTGATATAAACATGTGTTTTATCAATAACGGATAATTAAAATACTAATGTGATAGTTTTTTAAATTTTTGATGATTAATTTTTAACATATATTATTCATCCGTAATTTATTAATGAGACGAGAGAGACCACTCAAAACAAAAGGACAAAAAAACTTTGTCAAATCGAGAATTCGGCAAAGAAAATAGAGATAAAATTACACACGATAAAAATTAAATGATTAAAACAAAATAAAGATCATAAAAAAGATAAAAATAAATAAAAAAAAACTTTCACTAAAAGCATACAAAAAAAAAAACTTATAAACAATAAGACTAAAAAAATTTCATTATGTATAAGGCGAAAACAAAAGTAAATATTATAGAATTTTAATGACCAAAATAAAAAACATTAATAAAATAAGAATCAAAACGAGAAAATTTTTTAACTAAAAAAAAAAAACTTAGCATAGTTAAAATGTATTTAATTTTAATACCGAATGAATAATAATTAAATATAATAAAATTTTAATGATCAAATAAATGAAAGATCATAATAAAAAAACTAAAATATAACAAAAAGTTTTACCGAGAGTAAAAAATAGTTCCCGGTAGGGAAAAAATTTAATGATCAAAATAAAAAACAATTACAAAAGACTTAAAAAAAAATTCTACTAAATTTAATGATGAAAACAAAGAAAAAAATTACAAAACAAAAATTAGAATAGAAAGAAAATTTCAATAAAAGAAAAAAAAACAACTTTAGGATAATAAACTTTATTTAGTTTCGGTATGGTAAGGATAAAAATCAAATATAAGAAAACTTTAATGACTAAAATAAAAGCATATTAAAAAATAGAAACAAAAAAAGAACATAAATTTTTATTAAAAGTTAAAAAAATATTTTGTTATAAGGATAAAAATCACATATAATAAAATTTTAATATTTCTAATACGGATAAAAATCAAAGATAAGAAAAGTTTAATGACCAAAATAAAATAAAAAAATAGAAAGAAGGGACCAAAATAAAAGTCAATGTCCTAACCCGAAACGAGGAGAAGAAAAAAGAGAAAACAAAAATGCCTTGCGTGAGGCACTGCGCATCAAGCACTGGGCTGCTGCTCAAGACCCAAATAAAAAAAGAAAAAATAGTCCGTAACTTTCGACAAATCGATGTCGTCGGAATCTTCATCGAAAAATTGAGGATCAAGTTTCGGACCCCTAAAAATTGAATTTCGGCATCATTTTTTTCTTCTAAACACCTTTAAATGACGAAAATAAAGCCAATAAACATATATAAAACCTTAAAAAATCATTTTAATGCATAAAAAAAATATACACAATTAAATCGGAATATTGTTTCCTTTTTTTGGCTCCGATCTACCTCATCTAATTGTTTAATGACTTAAAACAATCATGTACTAATTCATCTCTCAAAGATAAAAAATTTTAGTGAATTTTCGCTGATCAAAGTGACCTAAATAAGCTTGAACGACGATTTTTCTCTCTCTCCCTCCTCCCATCTCTCTCTTCTCCTCTCCTTTCTCTTTCATCCAGGGACTAAAATGGATAAATAAATAAAAATATAGATCACAATATTCGTTAGCAAATATCAAAGATTAAACTATAAAAAAATTAATAAATAAAAAAATATTAGTATATCAACAATATTTGAAACAATATTTCAAACAGTAAACTATCTTTTGTTATAGTTTATTTAGTTAATATACATCATATTTGTAAGATAAAATATCCTTAACTTAAATTTTGAGCTAGTAACAGGGGGAGCGGAGGGGCAGGAAGCATCTTTGTCACTGCTAGGTAACCCTAAAACTCTCCCTTCGCTAAAATTTGCCGAGCTAATTTCTTCTTCTTCATCATCATCATCATCATGACCTTTTCCTTTTTGTAATCTGAGAAATTAGTCGCCTACAGCCTACAGGTATTGATATTACAAAGAGATAAGAGTTATCCTTTGTTAGGCAGCGATTTCTGCTGCTGCGGAAATATTTAGCAACAGAAATTAGGGTTTATGGTTTTTAGGAAAATATAAAATTTTGGTATCTTATTCGTAGCTTAATTAGATTATAACTCCATTTTTCTGTTTCTTTTGAGCTTTACAGTTACTGTTATTGTCATTGCGGCTAATCAACCATGTCTTGGTGCACTATTGAGTCCGATCCAGGTAATATCTGATTATTCGTATCTTATCGTTATCATTTTCCCTGTAAATTCTTTATTTCAAAGAAAGAAACAAGAAAATTAGCTGGAGACTCTTAAGATGATATCTTAGAATAAACATTGTCTTAAGATGACGCTTTTTCTCCTAATTGCATATGCTTATACTCACCCATTTCCCCATTTCATTCTCCTTATTGTCTCTTATTTTCTTTCTATCTTCTCCTCCCGTCCAAACTTTCCTCTGTCCTGGAACAAATCTTTATCCTTCTAATCTGACAACTCAGAAGCCAAGGCATGGATGCACAATCGAATCAAATTCTCCTACTCATGTTTAATCATAGTACAAAACAATATATAAATAATAATAATAATAATAAAAAAATCATCGCATGCCATATGCTGCAGCCAAATAAGCTCTTCATAAAGTTCTTTTTTTCCTCAGTAAAGAAATTTTTCTCTTTCAAATCTCTTCATGTGTTCAATACAGTTAAACAGAGTTCCATGTATATCTAATATCAACTCGACAGTCTTTGCACCAATTGGTTTCTTGAACCTTTGGATTAGTCTTTTCCTCAGTCGCCTACAAGTCTTATATTTGTTTGAAAGGAGCTGCTTCTGATTCAATTTGTTGATTTTTGAAAATCTAAAACAGAAAGGTTTTGTGGAGGTGTGCTTTGTATCGTTTGATTTTTAGCATCTGCCAGTAATGCAGCATTTTAATTTTTTTTTTGGATAGGATATTATGAATCTATTATTTTACTTGTTACGTTCATTAAAAGAATAGTTTTCCTAGCTTCACTTTAGTGCTCTGCCATAGCAGTTAGAGCTACTAGGAGAGGCAGGATAGATTTGTTGTAGTTTTGTCTTGTTTTAGATTTACCAAAATGATAATAATAGTAATGCAATAAAACTTTAGTCTCTTCATACCCTATTAGCTGACACTAAAATATGTTTTGGATCATTGTAGTTGTTTTAAAAGCATAGGAACTCATTTTTAGCCACTATAAAGTTTTAAGCTTAAACATATATCATCCTCCCAATTATTAAAGATGGATGGATCTGCAAGACAATAAACTTGGGATCTAAAGCAGGGTTTGACAAATGATGAAGCTTCTGAGAAGCCAGGAGTTCTTTGTGTGGCTGTTCTATTTATCCTGATGATGTCTATTGAAAAAACGCAAAGCTGTTGTTGAGAATGGCTCAGTGGAACCAAGACTTGAATAAGATTCTTGACTGTATTCTACAAATAGACTTTATACCAATCCTGATTCTCGAACCAGTAAAAGACTCCCTGGTCCTTGGATAATTGGATTTGGACTCTACATTCTAGGCATGCTGTCGTACATACAGGGGAATCTCTTGCAAAAAAGGATGCTATAGAATTTAATGTTTTGTATTTTTGTATTTAAATTTTGTTTTACACAAATGGGTGGTACAATCCTGGTATATTTTTTCATAGATTTCTGTTGGTCGTGAACTAAGAAAAAGAATTAAAATTGGATTAATCTTCTGTCTTTAGATGGATATTTGTGCCTGTAAATATTTCATGCTGCTTTTGCAAGTTTTAACTATATAGCTAGCGATTATAGCATGTGGATTGTTTATTGCAAAGGAAGGAGTAGTTTCCAGTTCCCACACATGGATACATGCATGAACATACATTATATCCGTACCGTGTTTATAGTGTTTGAATGGAAACCTCTTTGCTATTCGTGGCTTGTAATCCAGGTGTGTTCACGGACCTTATACAACAAATGCAAGTAAAAGGTGTACAGGTAACCTATAAATCTGTTATACCATTTTTTCACTGCTTTTAGTGTTATATCAAGTTCCCCTCCATGCTTATGCCATTCAGTATTTTAAATTATTTGGAATGCAAGTGCCATGCTCCACTGTTTTCTTCTCTCAAGTTTAAATGTATTTTACGGAAAGTAAAATGGTTGATCTTTATTTAGTCCTCCACTTTTTGGCACTTGGGTCTTTTTTGCTTCCATTTTTAAGGTGTTCAGTTAACAAGAATAAATGGGAAAGGAAATGGGAAAAAATGTAATTGGAATCAGATGGTAATGCTTTTCTATTACTGATGAATGGCTTTTCATTTTCACTTTTTTTTTGGTTCAAAGTATGGGATATCATTGCAAATTCATTATCAATATCGCAACCACAGTACCCATTAAAACTAATAAAACCATATATTATTACCTTTTCATATGATCATCACCATTGGCATTAATGCCACTACTGCTATCTATTGTAACTACTGCCACTATAATGACCTGCTTATCCATTACCAAAACAACCACCCATCACTGCAGTATCACCATCATTGAGTTTTCTTCCCCTCTATGAAGGTAATTTTAAAAATTTGTTTTCTAAATAGGTTACTTTTTAACTTATTTGCTAAAAATAAGATATTTCTTACACACAAGAATCAAAATTGCAAATGAATTAATCTGAGGTGGAAATAGAGATTACTAAAAATACTTATTGTAACCCAACACTGCCATCTATGTGATCTTCTCAATTATTTTGCTTGTCTAATCAACATGAACCTATTGATAACTTATATGGAAAGCATTTTGGACAACAAAGGTTAATTTATTATCGTTTTAGAATTATGCTATCATGAATTTTAAAATCAACAATAGAAGGACTTTTTCCTATTCAGTGCTTAATCCATATAAGCTCAACTTATTTGTTTGTTTTGTGCATATAGCTTTTGAATTTTTTCTTATGATATATGCTTATGTGACATTAAATTATTAATTACATTAATTTGGTGATTATGAGGAAATTGTGGGAAATGAGTTTCAAGTTCCTTGTTAAGGTAGATAAGTTTTAAAGTACACCTATGAAAAAAAACTCCGTCTTTATTACCATCACCACTGCTACTAACACCACTGCAACCTCACAACCTCAATGACCTATCACCATCACTTTTTCCATCAGCATCAGTACTACAACCACCATTTCCTCGACTGCACCCTTGACCAACAAGAAAACACTAGTTAAACGCTTTTCAGCTCTGTCACAAAGTTATACAATTTATGTGGAGCACTATAAGTTCACTGGTTTATTTTGCCAGGCATTGCCATCTCAAGGTTCCATTCTGATTTCTCAACTGTTATACCCAATCCACTGTTTAGAATTTAATGTCATTATCATTTTGTGTTACCATTTCGATTGCTTTTTCATTCCTGATACCTATTTGTTAGAGCTACCTGAATGATATAATAGACTCTATGTTCATGTTTGCTAATTTAAATGATTATTCAGGCCGTTATCAAGGTATCCTATTTTCAGTTACCAAATGAGACATTCTTAAGAAACTAGAAGTAAATGAAAAGCAGGAACCAAAAGTACTACATGTTTCTGCCACTTAATGCATAATCACTCTACTTGTTGGTCAGAAATGCATGCTCTATGAATTGTGCGTTTGTTTTTTAATAAGGTCCAACTCCTAACCTACATGCATCTGCATATGATATCTTGATGCGCCTTTACAGGTTGAGGAGTTGTATTCATTGGACCTTGATTCTCTTGACAGCCTGAGGTTTATTTCTTAATTCCATTGGCCTACATGATTTTATCTCTTATGTTGGCTTGCCATTTTCTTGATGCTAACAAATGACCTTTTATTTTATTTTTTCTACCTTGGCAGACCTGTATATGGTTTGATTTTTCTTTTCAAATGGCGCCCAGAAGAAAAAGATGAGCAAGTTGTAGTTACGGATCCAAATCCTAACCTCTTTTTTGCCCGTCAGGTATGTTTAGATGAGATCCACAGTCAATGGAGGATCATAAGCTCTAATTAATTTTCTAAAGGTTTTTCCTTTCTTGTAGGTTATTAACAATGCTTGTGCAAGTCAAGCAATTTTGTCCATCCTCATGAACTGCCCGGATATCGACATTGGTCCAGAATTGTCAAAGTTAAAAGAATTCACAAAGAATTTTCCACCTGAGCTCAAAGGATTGGCTATTAATAACTGTGAAGCTATACGCGTAGCTCACAACAGTTTTGCAAGACCTGAGCCTTTTGTTCCTGAGGAGCAGAAGGCTGCCAGCAAAGAAGATGATGTGTACCATTTTATAAGTTATTTGCCAGTTGATGGAGTGCTGTATGAACTTGATGGATTGAAAGAGGGACCCATCAGCCTTGGTCAGTACACTGGCAGGCATGGTGATCTGGACTGGCTGCGTATGGTGCAACCAGTGATCCAGGAACGCATAGAAAGGCATTCCAATAGTGAGATAAGATTTAATCTCTTGGCAATAATAAAAAACAGGAAAGAAATGTATACTGCTGAACTCAAGGAGCTCCAAAAGAGGAGGGAGCGTATCTTGCAGCAGCTAGCTACCTTCCAGGCAGAAAGACTGGTTGATCATAGCAACTACGAAGCTTTGAACAAATCCCTGTCTGAAGTAAATGGTGGGATTGAAAGTGCTACAGAAAAGATTTTGATGGAAGAAGAAAAATTCAAGAAGTGGAGAACAGAAAATATCCGTAGGAAGCACAATTATATTCCGTTTCTGTTCAACTTCCTCAAGATTCTTGCGGAAAAGAAGCAGCTGAAGCCCCTTATAGAGAAGGCCAAGCAAAAAACTGGATCCTCCAAGTAAAAGGTTTTTATTTATTTTCTGTTAGGAGCGAAACTGGTTTCAATTTGGGACCATGTAACTAGTATTTTAAACTTTTTTCCCCATGGTTATTTTGAACTATCTTCTGCCCATGTGAAAGCTGGTTTGCAATGTCCTAGACTATCTTCAGGTAATGGAATATATTCTGTTTTCCAGTTCCGGCTTCATTGAGAAGTGACTTGTTAACATGCTAACAAGCTACTGTTGAGTCCAAAATCCCGTGAGATTAACGAGTCACTGGTTGGATCGTTGGATTGCTTATATTATAATAAGTTTATAGTTACAGAAATTAAAAATTTTAAGTTCAAATCCCACAATATATATTAAAAATGAGGTCAATACTTGACCCATTGGTCCAACCAGCTGAACTTTACTGAATTTTGCTAGGTTTGATCAGTTCTCTTGCCGATTCGGTTTTTAGTGTCAATTCGGACCCAATAAGTGGCCAAACCATCGAATTCTGGTTGGATTGACTGGTTTGATCTGGATTTAATAACACTGCATGAAATTATGAACGAGATACGATGATGACACTGATTAAATAATTTGGTATATATTAGAAAAATTTCATTTCTCTGTAGGGATTTTTACAGTGCGATACCTTGAGCCATTTTCCAACTATCTGAACATGAAAATCAAGTTCGACACTTTTGTAGGGATTTTTACAGCGCCGCACTTTGAGGCGTTGTATGAATTAACTAACAATTCTATGTGACATTCACGTGGTCTAATCTTTTAACTTATTTATCATATATTAAATGTAAATGATAAAAATATAATTATATTATCAAATATTGTTATTCTTGTTATAAAATAGCTATATATATATTTTTTAATATTTAGTTGATAGTTACTAATACGAGTTTAGAGGATATTTTTATCGCTAAACCTAATATATATATTACATAAAAACTTTGACATCATCTTGTAAGTAGTTGTGTTTGTGTAATTACTAACTATAACAATTTTATTTAGTGAGATACAGTCTAATTCAATAATTTTGTGATTAGAAAATTTTAAAAAATTTCATTTTATATGATGGACTAATAAAAAAATAGCAAATAAAAATATAAATGTCTTCCAAGAAGATTTTGTATTTATTTTATATTTTACATATAAACTAGTAGTTAATAAACTAGTAATTAATAGGATACAAACCTTTTGTAACTAGTTTATTAACTAGAATTGAAATAAATATGAACATATTATTTATTTCTACCATTGCTCTTTACTACTCAAAAGTTTACTATGGATATATATATAAACATCAGGTTCGTTTCGACTGTCACAGCTGAACCTGTAAATCAGGTTTAATTTGCTTAATCTATTACAGATTTGGATCGGTTTGGTTAATTTAGATTCGCAGATTAGAAACCTTAACCTCAACCTAGAACTTGTAATTTATAGTTTCGATTGAAACTGAACCTATAATCAGGTCCGGTTAACTTGAACCTATATTATCTAATCTTTTTTTTTTTTTTTTTTTTTTTTTTTCTTTTGGTTTATACAGTTTAGTTCGGTTCTCATGTTCACACTTTTTTTTTTTTGTTTGAACCCCCTAGTTCTTTGCAATGCAATCGTATAAAATCAAAATTACGTCTTCTGCAAGCGTTAAAGAACTTTTAATTTACTGACGCTAAACTGCGATGTTTGATGAACATTATATATATATATATATCTCATGTCCCAATATGCGAGAGTGCCAAAACAGCACAAGTCGAAGTTATTTACAGCTAGCAAGGAATTTTCCATAAGTATGAATCCTTTGTAAAGAAGCAAGAAGGGAATATTGGCACAAAAGGCTTGCTAGGATGAGCATATCTTACAACTTTTCCTACAATAACCATTATGCTTAGAAGAACCCACCATATAAAGAGGGTTCTTTTCACACTCACCTGCCATAGCCCATAAAGGGCAGTTCTCATTCTCATCAATACAGTTCCACATTTTTGAATGCTTCACAGGTTTGTCGAAGGATTTGACATGGATCCACTTGGTTGCAGACCACTTCTCACCCTCAATAACAGGGCAACTCGCATGCAAGCTATTTGGGTCAGTACTCGAGTCGGGATGAAGATTGAAGAACAGCAAGGCATCGCCCTTCTGGGGTTTCACTGCAAGTACGTAGCTAGTACATGTAAGGAAAACATTTCCTTTATAAATAAATGCTAATTAAGCACCTTAATTTATTGGATCACAACGAAGACCAATTATAAATATATATACACACACCTACCTGCATAACCGTTTTTAGCACAATCAGACGAGTTGTCATCCTTTGCTTGAGACCCTTTAGCCTGTACAGTACAAACACAGGAATCGATAGAGAATATATGCATATATATACACACAAACACCAAAAAGTAGTAGCAATTCTTATTAGTTAATTTATACCTCTGAATTGGGAAATATTGTTTCTCCACCCTTCTTAACATCAGACAAGTACATGAGTAGAGTGGCAAGCCGATGACCACCTACCATTTGATTAATCTTGTCGACGAAATAATCAATATGTGCTTCATACTTTTGACCCTGCTCATAGCGTAGTATCTGGATCGGCTCCCCATTTTCTGAGTTGAAGAAAAGATTAATAATTGAACAAAAAGTAATTTTCCTTTTCAGAAGAGTACTCATAACAAGCAAATAAAGAGAACAATAATACCTTCTGGAAGGAAAGTCCATGCTGCAATCCTGGCCTCAATATCAGCAACAATTTCATCCTGAAGAGTTGAAACAAAAGGACATCTCTTAATCCTAAAACTATAAAATGCATAATATCACACAAATTTTCTGAAATATATATAAACATGCATGTTAATTTATAAGCTAACAAATTATATGTACAAAATATTCAATGTTTACATATGGATTTATGTGGCAAACCATATATAATTGCTGAACTGGTTCCCAAAGCAAAAATATCAGTATATAATTAATCGAGCATGAAAATATGTGCGCGCACACACCCAACTTGATATGGTTTATTTATTTTTTTTATCGCATTATTCCCTCTTCATATATTGTGCTATCTATAACATAAATAAGCTAATTAATTTTAAAAAAATTAAATATGGATTTTTTTTAATAGAAAATATAATCCATACAGTCCATGGTCTATATTAGGACAGCAACAACAAAAGCAATAGATTGCTATATAAATGAACTAATCCATGCAGTCAATGGTCTATGTTAGGACAACAACAACAAGAGCAATAGATTGTCAAGTATTCCAGCAACAAACCACCGTTGCTATCAGATAAAGTCCAAATCACCGTTGCTAAGGGTAGAAGTTCAACTTGTATTGGGTAGATTGCATGTATCTTTAACAACAGTATAGATTTACGTTATATACTCTTGTAACTTTCAAGCCTTTATATAATACAGGGTCTCAGAATCTAAAAATTAATTTATTGACGAAATATCATTTTAAACTTCCCGTTAAATTCAATTTGGTATCAGATCTTGATTTGCAAAAGTGATCAACCTTCTGCCGCACCTCTTGCCCAACATCCAGTAGAACCTTATGGCTGGTTCAAGTAACGCCTTTATTTTATAGATTAGATGATTGAGGTTGGTTTCATCCAAAATATTAAAGTCTTATAGTTAGTTTTTTTTTACAATTTTATATATTACTTATTTTTAATTTAACTATTTAATGTGAGATATGTTTTATAATACTTTCTCTCACTTGCAATTTAAATTTTAAGATCTATCAAATGGCTTGGGCTCCATGATATTTATTGGACTCGTTAGGCCTCTTTGAGGCTCTAATACCATATAGAGTTAGATAGTTGAGATTATGTTTTATCGAAAAGATTTAAACCTTATGGTGGACAAGCGCTTAACAACTTTATATATCACTCATCTTTGGTTTAATTATTTAATGTGGGATATATTCTCTAACATTCCGCACCACACCCTACTAACTTTAACTCCCATTCGATGAGTCAATTAACTAATGTCCATCATTTCAACTCTTTGAAACTCACTTCAACAAACATTATGTTATGGTGCACTCGGATGCGACCATTCTTGTTTGAAAAAAAGGTCGCTTGGGTTTTTTGATGGGTCAAACATGTTGTCTCGTAGCCACATTGTATCGATAAAAATAGGTATCTTTCTAGTGAATCTTTCTCATCTTTTTTGGACGGAACCTAATCTCTTGGGTTTCGTCCAAAAAACTTAAGCTTTATAGTGAGTTACCCTTTCACAACTTTATATATTCTCACATTTGGTTTAACTATTTAATACAAGATATGTTCTTTAATAATTTTTCTCATTTACAGTTCATCTTTTGAGATCTATCAATTGACTTGAGTTTCGGGGTATTTGCTAGGTCTGTTTGGCCTCTTTGAGGTTCGATATCATATAGAGTTAGATAGCCGAGATTGAGTTCCATCCAAAAGACTTAAGTCTTATAATGGGCAATCCCTTCACAACTCTATATATTACTCATCTTTGATCTAACTATTCAATGTCTATCATTTCATCTCTTCGAAACTCATTTCAACAAACTTGCTATTATGGCGTACTCGGATGTGACCATTTTTGTTTGGAGAAAAGGTTATTTGGGTTTGTTGATGGGTCAAACAAGTTGTCTCATAGCCATAATATATCAATAGAAATAGGTATCTCTCTAGTGAATCTTTCTTACCTTTCTTGGGTTCAACATGACTAGTTGCTCACGAGCACGCTAATAGCTTCATTTTCGACCACGATGTTTGCCTTTGGTTATAAACTATACAATTTCAAGAGATGTATGGACTTTGCTTAAAAGTTCCCTTGTCTATTTTTTAGCACAAACATCATGAGTCTATATTTAGTTTTACAAAAATTTATCACATAATATCTTTAGTGAGAAAAGTTTTATAGTGATGAGCTAATTGTCTGCTAGAAGACCTCTTTAGATAATTGATTTCAATCTATATCTCGTTTATGGGGTTAACGGGAGAGTTTAAAGACATTGTAACTACTTTGTATTTGTAACTTGAACTAGTAAGAATTATTGAATTATATAACCTATTACTCGGTCATGAGCTTCATAAACAAAGAGTTCCATATTGACCTCTCTATTTTTGCATCAAGTTCTAGTCTCGTTGCCTACTCTAGCAATAACAAATCTAACTTAAATGGCAAGCAACAACAATCAAGAGAGGTTGGCAATTTCAGCATGGAAAGGGCAAGACATTAAGACGATGAAGACATGAAAAATATAACAATAGGTACAACAACAATTTTAGTGCAAAAAAATTGAGGTAATTGTCTTAAATGGAGAATAAGTCCGGTAATGTTAGGGATGCTTTTGTGGGCCGTCATTATAGCGAAGAAAGGGGCAACCGGAAGAGGATTCAAAGGAATAATTGGCAGCAATTCAGCTCCTAAATTAGTGGCATCATTATTGTTATATTTCTCTTTGATTATTTCTTTATTTAGCTAATTAGCATTTTCAATTATTGTGTTTCCTATTCTTAGCAGATTCCTAAAATAATTACACTTAGGATTGTACTATTTAAAAGATTTGTTTCAATAAGACATGGGGGTAGATTTCTTTATACTAATTCGGAGATTGGTGCTCTCTCTCAACGAGCCCACCCTCGGTCATCATAGAGCGCAAGCGTAAAGTTGGTGCCACTAGGGGAATTCAAGCTCCTAAGATTAATCATCGACCCGTGACTAGATCTCTCACCCGGGATAATAACGAGTAACAAATCCTACCACCATTAGATGTGTTTTGACTTTGGTAGTGCCTTACAAGTGGAGAATTAAATAGCTAGATGTACAAAAGGCTTTTCATTTTTTCATACTCAATGAAAATGCATTCTTGGAACAACCAACAAGATTTGTTGATGACCAATTTCCAAGCCATGTATGCAAGTTACACAAATTGCTTTATAGGTTAAAATAATCACCAAGAGCGTGGTTTTCTTGCCTCTATGAGTTCCTACTTCCTTTTTAGGTTTGTTGGATTACGGATAAATTGCTCTCTGTTCATCTATAACAAGCGAAGCTCCAAGATTTTCTCGCTTGTATATGTTGATGATATATTCATCATAGGTAATGATCATTTCTTTTTGGAGTATGTTATTGCTGCATTAAATTGCAAATTTGTAACTAAAGACCTAGGAGACATAAGTTTCTTCTTAGAGATAGAAGCGAGTCAAGACAAAGCAAGTTCTTCTCTTATCCCAATAAAAGTATATTAAGGACCTTTTGATTAAAAAATGCATGTAATTTTGAAAAACCAATGTCAACACATGTACCATAACTTCAAAGTTGATTGAGGCTTTCAATTTCGTGTTTGAAGATGCAATTAAATATAGATAGACTATGAGAGAATTGTGATATGCTACTCTTACTTGGATCGAAAGTTACTTTTGTTGTTAACAAAGTCCGTTAATTTATGCACAACCCTAAAGATGATCGTTAGGTAGTAGTGAAATGAATATTGCATTACTATCAACCATGGTTTTCACATTTGAAAAAAGCAATTATCCTTTGTGGTTTCTCGATTCTAACTTAATGGTTTTTTTGAACAATCAAAAATCAATAGAGGCTATATTATTCATCTCGATGAGAATTTGATCTTGTGGAAATCCTTCAAACGAGAAGACGATTGCAAGGAGTTCAACTAAGACCGAATATAAAGTACTTGTTGATGTGGTCGTTGAAATTTCATAATTGCAATCTCTCCTTGGTGAACTTGGTACCCTTTAGACAACTACACCAACTATTTGATGTAACAATATTGGGGTAATATATTTGAAAGTAAATCCTTTGTTTCATGTCCGGACAAAGCATATTGAGATTATTTTCTATTTTCTCAAAGGTATGGTTTCAATAGGAAGTCTTTAGACATAATTTATTTTAGGCTAGGATCGAGTAGTATACATTATAATTAAACTACTTTCTAGTATGCAATCTCAATTCTTATAGAAAAAACTAACCGTTGGATAATGTCAACAATCGACTTGTGAGAGAGTATTAAGATGACAACAACAACAGATTGCTAAGTATTCCAACAACAAACCATCATTTTTATCATATGAAGATAAAGTCTAAACCGCCATTGCTAAGGATAGAAGCTCGACCAGTATTGAGTAGATTATATTTATCTTAATATAGATTTACTTTAAGTACTCTTGTAATTATATCTTGTAATTATTAAGCTCTTATATAAGAGAGGGTCTTAGAACCTAAACATGTATTGAGGAAAAGTCATTCTAAACTTTTCGTTAGACTCAATTATCTAAAACTAAAAATTAATATGATAGCTAGAGAAGAGAAGCAATATTTTACATACGTATACACACCTCGACTTGGGAAAGAAACATGCCACTACTCGGTTCTCTCTTCGCTCTCCATACTCTCCCCGAGTTTCATCATTAGCAACCATTGATTTCACAAGCTTATCCCTAGCCTATAAGAAATTAGGGCGAGCCACCAAATACTTATAATTAAAGCACATACGCATATGCACAAGCACACACACACACACACACACATATACATGCATACTTAAAAAAAAAAAATTAATATTCTCTCAAAAAATATCAAATTAAAATAAAATAAAACTCCATATTGCTATCTAACTAACCAGATTAATGAGATGATCACACTCTTGGTCCGATAAGAATCCCTTGTAAATGAAAGCCCTAATTATTAAGTTACAAATGCAAAACAATTAATGGATCATTAAAGTAAGAAAGCACATTCATAAAGACATACTACTAGCTAGCTATAATGTAAAAAACAAGTGAAAGAGAAGAGTCGAGAAAGGCTAAAGTGGCCTTTGAAAATCAACATCTAAACTTTTAATTTGTGTTTTCACATTCTTCAACTTTAATTATTTTCTTTTTAGATTTAGTCTTTTTTATAATTTTCAACTATCATCCCTCCTCTTTAAAAAAAATTCAATTTTTAATATTTTTTGATATGAAGTTTTGCACACATGTTGAAAAAAAAATTAAATTTTGTTTTTTAGAAAAATTCTGAAACTTTTAGGTTCAAAAATTATATATTTTTTATTTTTTTAAACATTGCAAATGTAGAAAATGAAGAAAAATAGTAAATGTCATGGATTCCAAAATTTTCATAGAACTCGAGATAACCGTCACTCGAATAATTTTTTAATTATGAGACTATTTATGTAATTATTATTTTTGAAATAAATGATAGAAAATTGAAGGATGTAGTAAATCTAAAAAAAAAAAAAGAAGTTTAGAGAACTCAAAACACATATTAAAAGTTAAAAAAAAAACTGGTTTTTTTAAAATAAACTAAGATTTAGAAAATGTTTGACTCTTTAACTGAAAAGAAATGTACTTACCTAGGTTGCCAAGAGACTTGAGTGGCTCCAGTTGGATCAAAGGCCTTTGAAAATACACCAGTTTTCGATCTAATATGGATATGTACACCACACAACAAATTAATACATATGTAAGTTAATTAATATATTCCAGGCATATGAAAGCAAAATTAATGCGTGCATACAGAGATATATGTGTGTAATT